CCCAAAACCCCAAAACCCCAAAACCCCAAAACCCCGATTTGTAGTATAAATATAGAGAATTTATTAGTGACTATTAAAAATAATATGGAAGAAGCACCTCAAATGGAAAAATCTAGTATGTCATGGGTCTTCGGAAAGTTCTTGACATTGCTTGTTAGCAAGAAAGCTATTGTTCAACCCTTAATCATATATTTTACCATTTTTATAGATGAAAATAAGCAATACAGCACTTTTAAAGCTCAAGAAGATTCTTATGGTGTGGCCCAGGTAGACAACACTAAAGGAACAAGTCTTTATAAACTTGAAGGCGGAGAGACTGATGAGGAAGCTCAATTTTCTAAGAGTGAGCAAGAGATGCCTGAGGAGCATACCTCTTGGTTCAGCTTCAAAAAGTTATGGCTCTACACAGGTCCTGGATGGCTAATGTCTATTGCTTACTTGGACCCTGGAAACAGTAAGTTTAGCCCAGATAGGGATTTCTAACTCTAGTTACAGTAGGAGAGGTTCTTCCTTGTTTGTGAGGAAGATACACTCCAAATCTTTTATGTGATTTCCTAATTAAATCATTTGACCTGATTATTTCATAACATGAACATGATCGTTTGTGAATGAGAGTGATTTACTATCAAAATTTATAGTTGAGGGAGACCTACTTGCTGGAACTCATGGAGGTTATGGACTTATCTGGACTCTTTTCCTCGCAACATTTTGAGGACTCATCATCCAGATCCTCAGTGCAAGAGTTGGTATTGTCACAGGTAGAGACTTAGGTAAGTGATTTTGAGCCAACATACAACCAGCATTAGATTTTTCAAATCGAGTTTTGACTCTAATTTCTTCTTTAGCTGTTCTGTGAAGAGAGCAATTTAATAAGCCCATGAGATTAACTCTGTGGGTCATGGCAGAAATAGGTACGATTCTATTTAGAAGCTTTCTAACTCTTTATAGCCATTATTGGAAGCGATATCCAAGAGGTCATTGGTACCGCAATTGCTTTCAAAATTTTGTTTGGATTCCCTATCTGGGTAGGAGCCATCATTACAATTCTGGATACTTTCACTTTCTTATTTATCCATGCTTGTGGAGTGAGAAAACTAGAGGCAGTCTTCGCTGTCCTTGTTGGAACCATGGCTATCTGCTTCTGGTGCAACATGTTCATTGTCCTGGTAAGATTCCTTCTCCTGACAGATTGTTTCGAAATTATGCTGTTTGAAAGTTTTAATAAAGTCGATAAAATTTTAAGATTTTCGAACAAATGTAACGTGCCATAATATCTGCTTCATATAGAATTTTGAGAAATTAGTTATTAGAGTTTACATAATTTGTTACTTTCTTTTTCGTGTCAATGGCCAAATTCGTTGCTGCAATATTTACCAGATTTTAATATTTTCTAGCCTGATGCAGGCGACGTCATGAAGGGTTTTATCCCTCAATTACCGAAAGATTCGACTGGAGAGATGATTGGGCTTATTGGAGCTGTAATTATGCCTCATAATCTTTTCTTGCACTCAGCTCTTGTACAATCGAGGAAAATTAATAGGCATAATAACAGTAAAGTTAAAGAAGCTAACAAGTAAGACTCAAGACCCTAACTTTTAGATATTTTGCAATTGAAGCAGGAGTTTCTCTCTTTATATCATTTTTGATTAACCTGGCAGTTGTAGCAACTTTTGCTTACTATCACTTGAAAACAGGCTCAAGTGATATTGTATTGAACAACGCACATTTTGCTCTTCAAGAGAGTTTTGGTACAAATGCTAAATACATTTGGGCTATTGGATTAATGGCTGCCGGACAATCATCTACTATGACTGGAACTTATGCTGGTCAATTCGTAATGCAAGGGTTTATTAACCTTCATGTGCCTGCATACGTCAGAGTGTTCATTACAAGAGCGATTGCTATTGTTCCTGCAATTATCTTCGCGTTCATAAAGTATACAGACAACTTGGATGGGTTCCTGAATATTCTACAGGCTATTCAGTTACCATTTGCCTTGATTCCTCTTCTAAAATTCTCTGCTAGCCCGTAAGTTTATAGAAAGATATAAGATTTTAATGATTCCTTAGCCAAATTTATTGCTATTTATGTCTAACTAAGTGCTAACTAAATTTAGAAAAATCATGAAGGATTATAAGAACCATATGTTTTGGAACTTATTCTGCATTGCAGTTTCCCTTACCCTCATGGCACTGAATGTCTATGGACTCATTCCTTGTAAGTGTTCACAAAGAGGTGATCTGACTTAGTTATAGCTACAAAAAATCCGTGGATAATAGCAGGAACAACGATTGGATTCCTGATCTATTTTGGGATTATCATCGCTGTATTGCTATCCCCTGTTCATAACCTCGCTCCTCTCCAATCAGAGATTGAAGAGAGCAAGACCTTCGCTGAATTAGAGGAAGAAGAGGATGACTCCAGAGATGAAGGTAAAGAGAGTTTTAGACAGGATGATTCTTAATTTCTTTTCATAAAATCCCGCTTATCTTTGTATATCTAGGTAAACCACTAAGGGAAGCACTTCTTAACAGGTCTTCGAATATTGTAGAGAGCTCAACGCTATAATTCAAACACATCTGAGATTTTAACTATAATTTTATAATATTATTCATATTATTTCATCACGTTTGTGACGTGCCGGGGTTTTGGGGTTTTGGGGTTTTGGGGTTTTGGGGTTTTGGGGTTTTGGGG